GCTTTTACCCAGTCATGCTCGTCCGCCATCATAGTGGATGTCATAATTATGTGGCCGTCATGCCAGGTGAGGTCATAGGCCTGTGTGAGATATATGAATTTCTTGATAAACTGGGTGAGGTTGGCAGTGAAGGAGCCCAAGCGCTTTTTAATGGCAGACAGATCTGCAAGAGGAAAAGGAACATGGACTCGAATGACTCCCTTAGCTCCGGCCACTTCCCTTAAGGGAGCCATGACCTGGGGTGGGGGTGGGTCATCCAAGTGTGTATGGCCAGCAATGGGGGAGGACAGAGGGAGTGGGGAGGATTTTCAGGGTAGGGAGGTGGGGGGACAGAGGGTTCAGGAGAGTTTAATGGGGGTTCACTGGGGGGTCTTGGCGGAGGAGAGAGATTCCGGGGGAACAGTGAGAGCAGAGGATTCAGGGGGTTCAGAAGTTCCCTTGGAAAGGCTAGGAGCGGGTTTTCGGCCCTAGCCTGCCTTAGCAAGCAGAATCTGGGAGGGAGAGCAGATAGGTACAGAGGTGGGGGCGAGAGCGCAGATATCAAAAAGCCTGAATATATGGGACTTCCTTCCATTTGCCATTACTCTGACAAAAATTGGTTAAGACCGGTCAAGACGTTGAAATTGAAAATGTCCTCGGGCGGCCAGATTGATCCATTGTTTAGTGAATATTTGGGCCAAACCATAGTCTACAGGAAGACCAGGCGGCGTCTGGATTGTCCAGTCTGATCATAACCTAACTTTTTCCAATTACAGAGGACACACCATAAAGGTGTTTTTGGATCAGGTTTGGAGGCAGCAGACCCCATGACAGACTACACCTCGGGTAGAGAAAATGAGCCAAGAGGCATCTCCCTTGGGTATAATCTCTCCACGGGTAGGAGGGTAAAGAGAAATATTGACTGGGCGGCCCCGAGATGAGACGATCCTTAGGGTACCCCTGGGGCACCCGGAATGGATGGGGAGTGTTCCTGGCATGGCTGTGACTACGGACAGGAACACTCTGGAGGTCCAAAAAACGGGGCTAGGATCGCTTACCTTCCCAGTGGGCTGACCGCGTGAGAGGGCTGATGGAGGGGCTCTAACCAAGAAGCATCCAACCCCTCCTGGGTTTCGGCGCCAGATGTTAGGTTTGATTTGGGAAGGGTGATGAAGTCAGAGGCAGCAAAGGTGAAAATATCAGAGTCAGGCCATAGGGTTTAATAAAACCAGTATAATTTATTCTGCACTCTTGGGTGAGGTCCCTCCACCTCTGACCAAGCCGAGGCCCAGGCCGAGGGAGTCACGCCCAGGTTGGGTGCTGCTCATTCTTAAAGGGCCGTTGTCCAACAGGTGGTCACCACGGGTCCTTGTCTAGCCAATGAAGTTTGCTGTTTCTGTTCAACTTTGGCGGG